TTCGAATGAATACGATTCTTTTTAATTAAAATGAAAAAAATTGACGTAGGCAAATTCCTTATCTCAGACGACGGCGAGACAAAGACATCATTTGTATTTTTATAAAATTCAAATTTTTTCTTGTGATCGGAATTTAGATTGTTGTCAATGTCGTTTATAGTAGAACATTAAATTTATAAATAAATTTAAAAGTCATAATAAAAAAATTAGAATTTCAAAAAAATTTTAATTTTCGCTACAATACTCTGAGGGAACGAACTGGGGAGGGCGTATGATTGCTGTCATAAAGTATACGCCCGAAATACGATTTCCTTATTTTTCAAGCATTTTTTAATTTCAATTTCAAATTCTTTTTTTTTAAATACTTATAAATACAAATTTACAGTTTTCAATTGTTTTATCAAAAGCTTTCGTATCTCATTTTTAAGGGGTCTCATCACGTTCTCCAACGCCATGGAATTTTAGAACATTTTTGGCATGAACAAAAAAAAACTATTTTAAATGCCCACGCTTCTTTTCCAAACTGATTCCAAAATAACTTCACCTGTCATCCCAAAAAACGAACGCTATGTTTTTTTTTTTTTTTTTTTTTTTTTTTTTTTGATTTCATATTTCACCCACAGAATTTTGAAAATTTTCCTCTCACTCTAAGAGCCATGACAACGACATACTAACATAATTGATATGATTCTGAATTTAAGTCACGTTTCCGCCACTCAAAATTTTTTTTCATTTTTTTTTTTTTTTTTTTTTTTTTTTTGTTTTGGCATGCCAATCTCGTTTCATTTCTATATCGTGTGTGTTTTCGAACTGTATTCAGTTTTATTTGATTACGAATTTTGCATAAAATTAACATAACTATTACAATGTCTTTATTAATAGATATTGGCTGAGATAATCGTAATATAAACAATAATAACAACAACAACAGAAGGCGGCATTTGGGAGAGACGGAGAGAAGAGAAATGGAAGGAAATGAGAAATTAAATTAATAATTGCCTTATTGAAAATAGGGAACTAAATTGAAAATATAGAAAGGGAGGAAACCGGTCAGAAAATTTATCGCTAATAATTATTATCGATAAATAACGTCAGTAGCTAAATAATATTTAATCGATAATAATAAAATAATAAATCGATATTAGAAAAAAAAATTATTTTTGCCATAAATCCATAGGAGTGGATTTTTAAAAAATTATTTTTTCCAATATATCCTTAGGCGTGGATTTTTTAAAAATTATTTTTTCGCATAAATCCTTAGGCGTGGATTTTTTAAAAATTATTTTTTCCAATAAATCCTTAGGCGTGGATTTTTTAAAAATTATTTTTTCCATAAATCCTTAGGCGTGGATTTTTTAAAAATTATTTTTTCCCATAAATCCTTAGGCGTGGATTTTTTAAAAATTATTTTTTCCCATAAATCCTTAGGCGTGGATTTTTTAAAAATTATTTTTTCCCATAAATCCTTAGGCGTGGATATTTAAAAATTATTTTTTCCCATAAATTCTTAGGCGTGGATTTTTTGAAAATTATTTTTTCCCATAAATCCTTAGGCGTGGATTTTTTAAAAATTATTTTTCCCATAAATCCTTAGGCGTGGATTTTTTAAAAATTATTTTTTCCCATAAATCCTTAGGAGTGGATATTTAAAAATTATTTTTTCCCATAAATTCTTAGGCGTGGATTTTTTGAAAATTATTTTTTCCCATAAATCCTTAGGCGTGGATTTTTTAAAAATTATTTTTTCCCATAAATCCTTAGGCGTGGATTTTTTAAAAATTATTTTTTCCCATAAATCCTTAAGCGTGGATTTTTTAAAAATTATTTTTTCCCATAAATTCTTAGGCGTGGATTTTTTGAAAATTATTTTTTCCCATAAATCCTTAGGCGTGGATTTTTTAAAAATTATTTTTTCCCATAAATCCTTAGGCGTGGATTTTTTAAAAATTATTTTTTCCCATAAATCCTTAGGCGTGGATTTTTTAAAAATTATTTTTTCCCATAAATCCTTAGGCGTGGATTTTTTAAAAAATTATTTTTTCCCATAAATCCTTAGGCGTGGATTTTTTTAGAAATTATTTTTTCCCATAAATCCTTAGGCGTGGATTTTTTTAGAAATTATTTTTTCCCATAAATCCTTAGGCGTGGATTTTTTAAAAATTATTTTTTCCCATAAATCCTTAGGCGTGGATTTTTTAAAAATTATTTTCCCCATAAATCCTTAGGCGTGGATTTTTTAAAAATTATTTTTTCCCATAAATCCTTAGGCGTGGATTTTTTTAGAAATTATTTTTTCCCATAAATCCTTAGGCGTGGATTTTTTTAGAAATTATTTTTTCCCATAAATCCTTAGGCGTGGATTTTTTAAAAATTATTTTTTCCAATAAATCCTTAGGCGTGGATTTTTTAAAAATTATTTTTTCCCATAAATCCTTAGGCGTGGATTTTTTAAAAATTATTTTTTCCATAAATCCTTAGGCGTGGATTTTTTAAAAATTATTTTTTCCCATAAATCCTTAGGCGTGGATTTTTTAAAAATTATTTTTTCCCATAAATCCTTAGGCGTGGATATTTAAAAATTATTTTTTCCCATAAATTCTTAGGCGTGGATTTTTTGAAAATTATTTTTTCCCATAAATCCTTAGGCGTGGATTTTTTAAAAATTATTTTTTCCCATAAATCCTTAGGCGTGGATTTTTTAAAAATTATTTTTTCCCATAATCCTTAGGAGTGGATATTTAAAAATTATTTTTTCCCATAAATTCTTAGGCGTGGATTTTTTGAAAATTATTTTTTCCCATAAATCCTTAGGCGTGGATTTTTTAAAAATTATTTTTTCCCATAAATCCTTAGGCGTGGATTTTTTAAAAATTATTTTTTCCCATAAATCCTTAAGCGTGGATTTTTTAAAAATTATTTTTTCCCATAAATTCTTAGGCGTGGATTTTTTGAAAATTATTTTTTCCCATAAATCCTTAGGCGTGGATTTTTTAAAAATTATTTTTTCCCATAAATCCTTAGGCTTGGATTTTTTAAAAATTATTTTTTCCCATAAATCCTTAGGCGTGGATTTTTTAAAAATTATTTTTTCCCATAAATCCTTAGGCGTGGATTTTTTAAAAAATTATTTTTTCCCATAAATCCTTAGGCGTGGATTTTTTTAGAAATTATTTTTTCCCATAAATCCTTAGGCGTGGATTTTTTTAGAAATTATTTTTTCCCATAAATCCTTAGGCGTGGATTTTTTAAAAATTATTTTTCCCATAAATCCTTAGGCGTGGATTTTTTAAAAATTATTTTTCCCATAAATCCTTAGGCGTGGATTTTTTAAAAATTATTTTTTCCCATAAATCCTTAGGCGTGGATTTTTTTAGAAATTATTTTTTCCCATAAATCCTTAGGCGTGGATTTTTTTAGAAATTATTTTTCCCATAAATCCTTAGGCGTGGATTTTTTAAAAATTATTTTTCCCCATAAATCCTTATGCGTGGATTTTTTAAAAATTATTTTTCCCATAAATCCTTAGGCGTGGATTTTTTAAAAATTATTTTTTCCCATAAATCCTTAGGCGTGGATTTTTTAAAAATTATTTTTTCCCATAAATCCTTAAACGTGGATTTTAAAAATTATTTTTCCCATAAATCCTTAAACGTGGATTTTTTAAAAATTATTTTTCCCATAAATCCTTAGGCGTGGATTTTTTAAAAATTATTTTTTCCCATAAATCCTTAGGCGTGGATTTTTAAAAATTATTTTTCCCATAAATCCTTAGGCGTGGATTTTTTAAAAATTATTTTTTCCCATAAATCCTTAGGCGTGGATTTTTTAAAAATTATTTTTTCCCATAAATCCTTAGGCGTGGATTTTTTAAAAATTATTTTTTCCCATAAATCCTTAGGCGTGGATTTTTTAAAAATTATTTTTTCCCATAAATCCTTAGGCGTGGATATTTTAAAAATTATTTTTTCCCATAAATACTTAGGCGTGGATTTTTTAAAAATTATTTTTTCCCATAAATCCTTAGGTGTGGATTTTTTAAGAATTATTTTTTCCCATAAATCCTTAGGCGTGGATTTTTTAAAAATTATTTTTTCCCATAAATCCTTAGGTGTGGATTTTTTAAAAATTATTTTTTCCCATAAATCCTTAGGCGTGGATTTTTTAAAAATTATTTTTTCCCATAAATCCTTAGGCGTGGATTTTTTAAAAATTATTTTTTCCCATAAATCCTTAGGCGTGGATTTTTTAAAAATTATTTTTTCCACAAATCCTTAGGCGTGGATTTTTAAAAATTATTTTTTCCCATAAATCCTTAGGCGTGGATTTTTTAAAAATTATTTTTCCCATAAATCCTTAGGCGTGGATTTTTTAAAAATTATTTTTTCCCATAAATCCTTAGGCGTGGATTTTTTAAAAATTATTTTTCCCATAAATCCTTAGGCGTGGATTTTTTAAAAATTATTTTTTCCATAAATCCTTAGGCGTGGATTTTTTAAAAATTATTTTTTTCCAAGAATCCTTAGGCGTGGATTTTTTAAAAATTATTTTTTCCATAAATCCTTAGGCGTGGATTTTTAAAAATTATTTTTTCCATAAATCCTTAGGCGTGGATTTTTAAAAATTATTTTTTCCATAAATCCTTAGGCGTGGATTTTTTAAAAATTATTTTTCCCATAAATCCTTAGGCGTGGATTTTTTAAAAATTATTTTTTCCCATAAATCCTTAGGCGTGGATTTTTTAAAAATTATTTTTTCCCATAAATCCTTAGGCGTGGATTTTTTAAAAATTATTTTCTTATTATTACGAAATTGTTATCGATAACTGGATTTATCGATAACATTATTTTTATCATTATTTTGCATTAGTATCATTATATTTCATTTATTAAATTTTTTTTAAATCCTCAGTGAATTTTTAATGGATTTTTGTAATAATCGATATTTTTTATCGATAACTTATCGATATTAATCTATGATTATTTTATCTTTGAACTCCTTACCTTTTTTACTTGACTATTCGGCGTGGGTACATCCGAATCCCATTCCGAACTCAAATCATCACTCGAAGCATAACCATAATCGCGAGGCAAAGGGACCTCGAGAAACGATTTCGAATACTGGGCATAGCCGGGACACAAATTATTGGCACCATGCGGAGAGGGTGAACGACGATTCATTAACGAATGTTTGCGTAGAGTGGCTATCGTCTCAGTCGACTCAAAGAGGCCTTTGGGCGGTATCATAATGGTCGGTGTGGGTGGTGGGGTTTTGGGTATAGCACCCGTCGAGGTGGGAGGAGCTGTTGAGGACACCGTTGGCATGCCATGGGCCTGGGCAAAGGCCATGCTGACTTTGCGGCCATGCACCATATTGCCAGAGGATTTTTTGCGCAAAGTTTTCTTGGAGAGCAACGGAGAGGAGGGATGTTTTTTGTCACAGGTCTCGGAGGCTTTGGGTTCCTCTGCCTCATCGGCCTCTTTTTCGTCGTCGTCCTCATCCTCATTTTCCGCAGCAGATTCATTGTTCATATCGTCCTCCTCCTCCTCTTCTTTGTCATTGTTTTGAGGTTTCTTCGGCTTATCCATGATGGGCTTATTGCCATTAATAATCTCCTGCTGTTTTTGCTCCTCCTCCTCAAAGTTCATTTTGTTGATCTCCTCGGGGGGGACCTCTGGGAAATGCAACAATTTTACGGTGATCTTTTTTCCCGCCTCGTTGTAGTAGACTTCCTTGGCACTCATTTTATCAAAGTCTTCGTAGATTCGGACTTGGGGATAGGCACACAGGGACATTTTCTCGGGCAGCATAACATCAATGAAATTTACACACACTCACACAGAATTGAAACATTTTCGGAATTTCACAAATAAATATTTTTTCAAAATTTTTTTAGACACACTTTTTTCAAAAGTCAATAGAAATCTGAGGGGGGTGGGGGGTAAAATAATGAAAATTGGGATTTCTGGATTTTTATAATTTTTTATATATATATTTAATAATTTATAATATTTTTTATTATTTATATATATTTTTTTAATTTTTTATTTTTTTTTTTTAATTTATTTATTTATTTATTTTTTGAAAACTTGGAATGAATTTTTCTTCTGGGTTATTTGATAGCTTTTTTGGTTCAGAATTTTTATTTGATTCAGACTTGAATTAAAAAATTAAAATAAATTTTCTTCTCAAACTACTTTGTAAATCCCTAGTGATTCAGAACTCAGTTTGATAACTAAATTCCATTTTGAAAATTCCAAAACTAGGGTTTGCGTTCAGCTTCTTCTCCGTTTTCCTCAGCGACTTGGTGACATGAAACCCGCGACTTTGGTATTATATAATTATGGCATTTGCGTCATTAGAATTTTAATTATCACAATTAAAAAAATAATAAAAAAAAAACCAAACACGACCAAACTGCAGCCAGTGACTGCGTCTCTCCTCTCTCTCAAACGGTCTCGCTCTATCTCTCTCTCTATCTCTCTGCGTTACCAATTAATCGGGCAATTTTGTGTAAAAAACTAACAACAACAACTAGTGATCGTTATAGCAGTTTCCTTTCAATGAATCAGACAAAACAAAAGTTTCACAAATGCAGCCAAGCGTATTATTGAGGCATAAATTAACCATTAATTTAACCGAAAAGTGCTGAAACTGAATGCTGACTGCGAACTATTGCAAAATGTCACCAAATACCCAATAGAATTCGAAGCCGCACACGATGCCTCAACACCATGGCACTGGTGTTGAGCAATTTTTCAAAATTTAATTGGCTTTGGATTTGAAATGGAAAATAAAAAAAAAAAACAATATTCAATTTTTTTATTCGGAAATTGCGAAATATTCTTAAAAAATATATAATTATTTTTTTTCGATAATTTTTATCGATAAATTGCATAGAAAATTTTTTTATTCATAAATGATTTTTATGAATTTTTTTTAATGATAAACGAATTTTTATAGAATTTTTTCTTTCGATAAATGATTTTCATAGAATTTTTTTTCGATAAATAATTTTCATAAATTTTTTTTATTGTAGAAAATTTTTTTATCGATAAACAAATTTTTATCAGATAATTTTTTATCGATAAACGAATTTTTATAGAATATTTTTTTTATCGATAAACAACTTTTTATAGAATTTCTTTTTTTATCGATAAACAAATTTTTATCAGATAATTTTTTTATCGACAAACGACTTTTTATAGAACTTTTTTTATCGACAAACGAATTTTTATAGGAATTTTTTTTTATTGATGTACGAATTTTTATAAAATTTTTTTTTTATCGATAAACGAATTTTTATAGGAAATTTTTTATCGATAATAGAATTTTTATGGAAATTTTTTTTTTATCGATAAACGAATTTTTATAGAAAATTTTTTATCAATAATGAATTTTTATAGATATTTTTTGAATTTTTATAATTAATTTTGAATTTTTATAGAATTATTATTTATCGATAACGAATTTTTATAGAAAAATATTTATCGATAAATGATTTTTATCGATAACTAATTTAAAAAAAATTATCGATAAATAATTTTTATAGACAATTTTTTACCGCTAATCAATTTTTTTAGAAAATTTTTTTATCGATAATGAATTTTTATAGAAAAATGAATTTATCGATAAAAATTACGAATCGATAAAAACATGTAGATAAATATTGTTTATTGATAACAAAAAAATTATTGTTAGAAGCTTGTTATCGATAAGAATTTTTTATAGATAAAAATTGACAATAAATATTATTTTTCGATAAATAATTTTTATCAAAAAATTGTTAATAACAATTGTTTGTCGATAAAGAAAACCGTTATCAATAAAAATTGTTGATGAAAAATCGTTGGCAATAAAAACTATTCACCGAAAAAAATCGTTTATCGATAAAAAAAAAATTAAAAAGTATTTATCGAAAGAAAAAATGTAGATAGAAAATCGTTATAAACATTTTTTTTTTTTTTTGAAATCACTTATCGATGAAATTTTTTCTATAAAAATCATTTATCGATAACAATTTTTTTAAAATGTTGTTATAGATAACAAATTTTCTATAAAATGTTTTATCGATAACAAATTTTCTATAAAATATTGTTATGACTAAAAACTTTCAAATTATTTATCGATAAAAAAATTAAAAACTATTTATCGATAAAGTATTTTTGATAGAAGCTCGTTATCGATAAAAAAAGGCGATATAAATTATTTATCTATAAAAATTGACAATAAAATTTATTTTTCGATAATAAATTATCGATAAAAATTATTTATCAATAAAATATGTTTGACGAAAACTCATTATCAATAAAAAGTTTTCGATGAGAAATCGTTGTCAATGAACACTATAAGAAATAACTTATCGATAAAAAAAATGTTGCAAAAAAGTATTTATCGGTGAAAAATCGTTATCGACAATTTTCTATAAAACATCATTTATCAATAAAAAAAATTCTATAAATATTTATCGATGAAAATTTTTCTATAACAATTATTAATAGATAAAATATAGAAAACTTTTCATCGATAAATTAAATTTACGGCAAAAATATCGATGAACAATTTTCTATCTAAATCATTTATCGATAACAAATTGGGTATAAAATGTTATTATTGATGGCAAATTTTCCATTAAATGTTGATATCGATAACCAATTTTCTATAAAATGTTGTTACAGATAACAAGTTTTTTTTTATAAAATGTTGTTATCGATAACAATTTTTCTATAAAATGTTGTTATCGATAACAAATAATCTATAAAATATTGTTATCGACAAAAAATTTTCTATAAAATGTTGTTATCGATAACAATTTTTTTATAAAATGTTGTTATCGACAATAAATTGTCTATTAAATATTGTTATCGATAACAAATTTTCTACAAAATATTGTTATCGATAACAAATTTTCAACAAAATGTTGTTATGAATAAAAACTTTAAAAATTAAATTTATTTATCGATAAAAAAATTAAAAATTATTTATCGATAAAAAAAATTGATCGATAAAAAAGAAAAAAATCATTTATAGACAACAAATTTTCTGGAAAATTTTGTTATCGACAACAAACTCTCTATAAAATGTTTTTGTCGATAACAAGTTTTCTATAAAATATTGTTATCGATAAAAAAATGTCTAAAAAATAGTTTATAAAATGTTGTTATCGAAAAAAAATTACAACAAATTTTCGATAAAATATTGTTATTGATAGCAAGTTTTCTATAAAATATTGTTATCGATAACAAATTTTCTATAAAATGTTATTATTGACAAAAAATTTTCTATAAAATGTTATATTTTTTTTATCGATAACAATATTTTATAAAAAATTTTCTATAAAATATTGTTATCGATAACAATTTTTTTGTCAAATATTATTACCGATAATAAATTGTCTATAAAATTTTGGTATCGATAAAAAATTATCTATAAAATTGTGTTATCGACAAAAAATTACCTATAAAATGTTGTTATCGATAAACACATGTCTCTAAAATTTTGTTATCGATAAAAAAGTGTCTCTTAAATTTTGACATCGATAAAAATTTTTCTTTAAAATGTTGTTATCGATAAAAAATTGTCTATACAATTGTGTTATCGACAAAAATTATCTATAAAATTTTGTTATCGATAAACAAATGTCTCTAAAATTTTGTTATCGATAAAAAATGTCTCTTAAATTTTGACATCGATAAAAAATTTTCGATAAAATTTCATTATCGGTGCACAATTTCCTGAAAATTTTTGATATCGATAAAAATATTTTGTTTTTAATAAAAAATTATCCATAAAAATTCTTCGTCGATAAAAAATGTTAATAAAAAATTCATTGTCAATAAAAAATTATCTATAAAAATTAGTAATCTTTAAACATTTTTATATAACTTCTTTATCGATAACAAAATTTTTTTATAAAAATTAGTTATCAATAAAAACATTTCCATAATTTTTGTATCAATTACAAAATTGTCGATAAAAATTCGACATTGATATCAAATTTTTCTATAAAAATTCGTTATCGATAAAAATTCTTTTTTAACATACAATTTTCGATACAATTCTTTATCGACATAAAATTCTCGACATTTCTTTATCGAAAACTTTTTTTTTAATTATTTATTAATTTTGACATTATTGTCGATAAACATTTTTCCATAAAAATTATTTATCGATAACAAAGATTTCCTAAAAAATAGCACATTTTAAACAATTTTTATTTTTTTTTTAATTTTTTTTTCTAAAATTTATTTCGATTAAAATAATTTCCAAGTGTTTTTTTTTTTTTTTCTTTGCAGACTCGAGTTTTGCTGATTTGATCTTTTCCAGTGGGCGTTGTGTTCCAGGCTTATATCTTTGGGCCGTTGTCGTGACGTGTAATTCTGTATTTATGCGAAAGCCCACATTATTTCGATTAAGACAAGGAATCCAATTACAAACCAAAGCCCTGGAGCTAAATAGGAAATATTTAAAAAATAAATGCAAAGTCTGTGGCAAAGCTTAGGTTGGCTGCTATGGCTTTGTGGTCGCAATGACGTAAATGCTAAGAGATAATTTAAATGCAGTTAATCATGGTTGTCCGGCTGCGATACTATCTGCATAGTGGTATTTTAATATTGTGGCTAATTTTGAATATGTATTTAATTTTTTTTTTATTTTGATATGGCCACAAATGTAGTATTAAAATAATTTTTCATGGCAATTAGCAATCAAATAATTATTTTTTTTTTATTTTCGTATTCCAAAATTGACTTTGAAATAATAAAAAAATTGAAATTATCTTCCATCCCCCTCTTCACTTTCATATATCTTTCCATTGAATTGAATCGAATTAATATAAACAATAATTTTTTTTTTATTTACATTTTCATTGGCCATGTTTTCTTTTCTCCCCTTTTTTTTCGAAAATATCGACTCAACGTAAACAA